TAAAAGGACACCTAAAGAAAGCAGGACTTATTAGAATTTCAGATGAAGATAAAAATATCCTGAATTGGAAAACACCTATTTGGCTATCAACTTTGGAGGCACTGATGCATCCACACCTTTTGCGACAAGGAAAAATCATCACCTATGAAGAGATATTAAATGAAAAAGGGGAACTACAAACTAGACAAGAGTTGAAGAATCAAGGAATTGCGGTCGAATGGTGGGCTTATTTGCAACTCCAATCAAAATATTTAAAAGATAAGAGAGAATGGGGAATTAGTAGAACTAGGACAAAATTAGATGAAATTTTATTAGGACCTGAGCAGAAGATGATTTAAAAAATATATCAAGTTTTATTGGAATTTAAATTGGAAGAAGAAAAAATAAAAGAAATGATGGTGGTATGGATGAAAAATTTTGGTTATAGCATTAATCTAGATGATTGGCAAAAATTATGGAATAGAAACAAAAAAATGACACTAGCAATACCCTTTTCAAAGAAAATTTGTATAAATTATTTTATAGATGACACATACCACCATCAAGATTGGCAAAAACGAACCCCAAACTTTCCACTATGTGTTGGAAATGTAATAAAGAAATAGGAACTTATTATCACTTGTTGTGGCTCCGGGCTTGGATTCAGCTCCTGTGATTGATATGAGTTCAAGTGAAGAGGTTATGGCAGAACAATATGAACCGGCCTGGCTTACTGATTGGACTGATAACCAGGATGAGGAGATGGACGTGACAAAGGATGACAGACCTGATGTATTAGAATTGTCAGGACCTTTGACCTCCTCTGGTTCCTTATCTGATCAACAGCCGGGAATGGTTGACAGGGAAGTTTTGAGAGAGTCTTCTAGTGGAGATGAGAACTTGGAAAATTTGTGGTTAAATGTAAAAAATAGAAGACGGTTGAAAAGGCAAAATCAGCTGGAGCGAATGAGAAGGGCGAGTCAGTAAATTAGCACGTTGCCTTAATGAGTATAAAAGGACACAGCTGGGCTGGTACATTTCGCCAGGAACAAAATAACTATTTGAGTGAAGACGTTACAGCAAAGAGCTCTGAGGCTGAAGATTTATTGCCAGGACTGGTTTGCCGGACAGAGTAAAGATTTATGCTGTGGTTTCTGCCAGCCGTTATCTTGTAAGACTTCTTTCCGTTTGATTTAATTGTGAAACGGCTGCTTTCTGTTTTGTTCGTTTGAATTTCGAAGGGGAGTCATAACAATCACTTATGGTGGAGTTGCAAAGAGGCCCCAAAATACTGGCAAAATCTACATAAGTGGATAGAAGAAATGTGTGGAATTAAAATACAATATAGGCCTGAGTTCTTTCTGCTAGGAATTAACACTGGGAAATACGATAAAGAAAACCTGTATTTAATGATCTATGTAATTACTGCAGCAAAGTTGGCGTATGCACATAATTGGAAAAGTAAAGATATCCCAAATGAATTGGAAATATTGAGGAAAATTACAATGTGCGCAGAAATGGATAAATTAACAAAAGAACTAAAAAATAAGAAAGATTCGGATTATTATAAATCATGGGAGAAATTTTATGGTTGGCTAGAGATGAGGAAGATCCATGAGAATAAGGAATGATTATATTTATATTTAAAGCATGTAGATGGAAATTATATAATACTACTATTGGATTTAGCGGTAATGGCAATGGTTGATGTTAGGAAACTATATCACGTTCAAATTTTTAATGTAAGACTTGTTTGTTTTTGTGTTTGTTTATTTGTTTAATAAAGTTTTTCTACAAAAAAAAAAAAAAGAGATTGTGGCCTACTTTGCAAATGCCTTACTGAAGTCTAGGTATAGTACATCCACAGCATTTCACTGATTTAGTCACTTTATCAAATAAGGCAATCAGGTTTGTCTGATGTGATCTGTTTTTTTAATAAAAACATAACAAAACAAAACCCTTTCAGGAATCATCCTGTTCATTTCTAGATGCTAATAATACTCTACTTAACAATCTTTAACAGGATTTTTCTGGCTATTGATGTCAAGCTGATTGGTCTGTAGTTTCCTAAATTCTTTTTTTTAAACCCTTTTGAAGATATCAGCTCTTTTCCAGTCCTCTCACAGTTCTCCTAGATACTGCAAGATACTTCCTTTGAAAGATTTAACTCAGTGATTCTGAAATCATATTTGCCACCTCTTTCAGAACCCTGGGATGTAAACCATCTGCTTCCAATAATTTGAACTCATCCAATTTGGATAAGTATTATCTTACCCAATTCCTTGCCTATTTAGGTATTTAGTTTTAGATTCCTATTCTGTCTCCCATGGGGTATTTTTTCTTTTTGTATGAAGACAGAGGCAAAGAAGGTATTAAACAGTTCTGCTTTCTCCTTGTTAGAACATAGAGTAACAGAGTTGGAAGGGACTGTGGTGGTTATCTAGTCCAGTGGTTGCCAACCAGTGGGCCAGGAACCACTGGTGGTCCACAAGAAAATGTTGGTGGTCCACAGAGAAATGTCACCCCAAACAACCCCCCCAAAGCAATTAATCCAGGCTGCGCGGGAACACAAGGCTACACCGCCCACATGGCCTGCAGGAACACAAGGCTTGTATCACCTGCATTGCGAACAACACGAAGTAGTGAGGGGAGAGGGGAAAGGGCGGATGGGGGAACTTGCCCCACTCGCCCCACACACCTCGCCTGGCCACCTGGCTGCTTCTTTCTGCCTCTTTCTTCTACTGCTTTTGGCTGCACACAAGGAAAGCAGCAAAAGTCTTTCTTTCTGTCCCCCAAACTCCACCAGAAATAAGTCTTTGGGACCGTCCAAGGCATCCTGCTCCAAAAGGCTGCTCCGGTGCGACAAGTCTCACAAAGGCTCATTTCTGGCAGAATTTGGGGGAGAGAAAGAAAGTCTTCTGCTGCTTCTGCTGCTTTTCTTGCATGAAGCCAAACGTCACTCTATCTCTCTTCCTGAGAATGGAGTTGGAGACGGTATCCTGCAATCCCAAATAATGATCGGTAGGAAAACGGGGTGGGGAATTTTCCTGCAGACTTTTGGGGGGATTTTCCCAGGGTCTCTGGTCCACGGGATTTAAAATTATGAATTTGGTGGTCCCTGAGGTCCAAAAGGTTGGTGATCCCTGATCTAGTCCACCCCCTGCTTGAGCAGGAGAGTCTATTCCAAATATTAGCCTCTACCTAGGATTGAACTCACAGCCTCCTGATTGTGAGGCAAGAGCTTGCCTGTTACCTTCTTCTCATCTTCTGCCATTAGTGAACAGATCATTATCTTGACTTTCTTCTTGTTCCTTACATATTGAAGAAACCCTTTTTGATATTTTTGGCATTTGTTGCAATTCTTAGTTCATTCTAGCCCATAGGTTTTCTGACTTCATCCTTGCAGTTTTGAGCTATTTGGTAGTATTTTATTGTAGTTATGTGCCCCTTGTTCTACATTTTTATACTTGTCCTATTGGTTCCTCAGTTTGTCAGTGAGCTGTTGGTGCAACCATGCTGGTTTTGTCTGGAGACTTTTTTAATCTGTGGATTTTTTTTTTTTGACTTTTAGTATCTCATTCTTCAGAGTTTTCGATGCATCCTATTTTTTTTTTCCTCTAGAAGAGATCAGTTCTGTGGAGAGAGGGTTTTCTGCAGACTGGAGGGAATATGGTTTTGCATGTTACCTGCATCCCATGGATGGGGCTTCATTTGTTTGCGTGGCCTGGTTGCTGGCATGCCAGGGACCAGTGCCGATCCACAGACTGGAGGTTGGGGGATCCTGCTCTAGAATTTCCCTCTATGGTATATCCTTCCTAATATCTCCCTGGGTTCATAGAATCATAAGGCTAGAAAGGACCACAGAGGTCTTCTACTCCAGTGGTCCCCAACCTTTCTGGAGCCACAGACCAGCTGTGGGAGGTGGGATGGTTTCATGTTTACAGTCTGGATCTTGGACAGGCACAAATGAAGCTTCACACACTCACTCACCACTTGTGCGACTTGGTTCCCAACAGGCTGTGGACTGATAGCAGTCCACAGACTGGGGGTTGGGGACCCCTGTTCTAGTCCAACCCCATTTCCAGGGCAGGAGACCTTATTATACTGAACCATGTGTTTGTTTCCTGCCTCTCACCCCTTCCTTCTTATCCTTCCCTTCCTCATTGTCTGATTTGCTATAGAGAGATTTATCCTTTGGGTTTGGTCTTATAAATTGCTCTCCTTCCCTGTCCAGTTTTAGTTTAAAGCCCTTTGGATAAGCCTAGCAAGATGTTTTCCAAATATATTCCTCCTGGTCCTTGTTAGGTACATTCCATCCCCTGCTAGAAGCCCTTCTGTTGGTATATTGTTTTGGAAAGAAGTGGCAACTTTTGTTCCAAACTGATTTTAGTGAGAATTAAAATAAAATTTCCCTCCCATCACCCCAAGTTGATCCTAATTGTTGCCATTCTTAATCATTCTTAGGCATCAGAACATGCTGACCTTATTTTTATGTAACAATAATTTTATGTAACAAAAATGTTATAAGCATAACAAGTAAATGATGTATTATCTTTAAAAAAGGTAGATGGATTAAACATATCATGTTAAATTATATAATAAATGTTTGAATTGCCACAAGCTGTTTATTGAGTTTATTCAAGAAACTGACACTTGTTGAGTGGCTATAAGAGATATTTTATTTTAACTCTCACTAAAATCAGTTTGGAACAAAAATTGCCACTTCTTTCCAAAACATACCGACAGAAGGGCTTCTAGCGGGCGTTAGATAGATATAGATATAAGAGAGAGAGAGAGAGAGAGAGAGAGAGAGAGAGAGAGAGAGAGAGAGAAATGTTCTTGTCTTCTAAACTCCCAGAGTTTTTTTTTAAAAAATTCATTGAATTCTCCAAAGTCTCCAAGAAGATGCAAATATCAAAAACATCAAAGGCAAGCCCTTGGTTGTTAAATTTCAGCTTAAGAAAGGAAATCATATTAGGGGAGGGAGGGTACCAAGGAAGAAATGATAAAACTAAACTTACCAGGATATGTTGTTGGACCACTATCAACTGAAACAAAAAAGGAAATATTATAAAATTAAATTCACATTGATATAAAATGCTATTTACTTCAAATACTGTCAGCTGAGTGAACCAGATGGATGCATCCATTATAACACCAGGAATGGACTTCATTTTGAGGGAGACGTTTTGTAGAGCAAATAAATCAAATACATTAAAACAAATGCCAAAACAGAAATAACCCTTTCAAATATTTAAATATTTATTGACTATTCCATTTATAATTGAATAATAAGCATCACAATATTATTTATCAATCAGTTCAAACAACATACAATGTTTAACAGCACAAACCGCTGAGGATACTGTGCAACTGGCTAAGCATAACTGAGATTCATGGGAAATACAGTTAAATCTAGAAGGCAGCTGACTGGGCTATATATTATATTTTAATTTTATTATTAAAATTATATTTAATTATTAATTATACAAAATATAAAAATATTTTTAATTTTATTATTAAAATTAAGTAAAAGTAATTAAAGTTATAACTAATTTAATTATTTAATTTAAGTAAGTAAAATAATTAAAATTAAATAAAATTAATTAAATAAAATTAATTAAAATTAAAATTAAATTAAATTCATATTGATATAAAATGCTATTCACTTCAAATACTGTCAGCTCAGTAAACCAGGTTGATGCATCCATAATATCACCAGGAATGAAACCCAGTTTGAAGAAGACTAGACAGTTAAATCTAGAATCTTGCTTGTATGAGAAATCAATGCAACAGCTGGGCTATATATTATATTTTAAGGTGATTTCACAGAATATTCAATGGTTGTATGGTATTTGTATACCATAGAGATAACACATTCTAAATTAATGTGTTTAATTTAAATTTCAAATGTGGAAATAGCGTTTCATGTTCAAAGTCCAAATTCATAACTTAAATGCAAATGGGTTCCCCTGGCTTTGTTCCTCTTCTCCATTAGACAAGACCAGGCAGCAGGAAAGCATCCTACAGTTATTCTTCCTTATTATGTACTGGGACTGGACAGAGGGGAGGTGAGAGTTGACAGATGGCCAGGTCAGCAGGTTTAACTACTGTATTTGCTAACATTTGTTTCAAGTTCTGACAGACTAAAAGTCAAAGTGACACGGGGTGGCAGTGTGGTAAAGTGGGGGAAACTTCAACTTTTGCCTGACTATCTTTCTGAGAAACCTATAGTCTTTTTGCCCAGACACAGGAATGACCTTTTAATCATTTCCTGAGTATGCAACCACATATATCTCAATGTCTCCCCACAGCTGAGACAGTGCAAGGGCAGCTTAAGGTGCTACACAATGGAATTAATATTTTATGCATTAGAGTGTCACTTTGGTGCTGACAATTTTCTGGCTTCACTTGGTTATGCTAAATTCCTATGTTCAATTTGATTCTCAGGCCTCTTTTGGCTGCAGGGGAGAGCAGGCCCTTCTCTATTCTTTTTTATATAGATTAGTTAAACTGTAGATTTTGGAATTGACCCTATGTGTGCTGCCTGTGTCAGGCTTAACAAATGTAGAATTAAAAATATTCAGGTTTTTTTGCTCCTGTAGTAGTGATGATGCAGAGGTCACAGAAGAGTATTCTCTGAAGCCACTTCAATAAAGGTCTCATGTCACCAATAGCAGCCTAGAGTAGGCCACAGAGGCCGGTCAACAGAAAAGGATACGGTCTGAAGATAAGCAGTCCATGGCAGATCCTTAAGAGCACCGGGCTGTGGACAATCATGCTTTCCCCAAGGATCACTTCCCTTGGGGAACAGTATGAGGTAGTCTTTTGGAGGGGGTGGTGCAGATCTTCAAAACTGGGATCCACGTGAAGAACTGGCAGTATAGGGGAAGTTGTGGGCATGAGAGAGCCAGACTTCATTAAACTTGAGACTTCATCTCTGGACGATTTTGAGAAGAGACTGGACAGCCACTTATCTGGAATGGTATAGTGTCTCCTGCTTGTGTAGTGAGTTGGACTAGAAGATTTTAAAGGTCCCTTCCAACTCTGTTGAAAGCCATACATGTGGGATTCAAATTTTTTTACTACCGGTTCTGCAGGCATGGCTTGGTGGGCGCAATGTGGCTTGGTGGATATGGCGTGACAGGGGAAGGATATTGTAACATCTCCATTCCCACCCCACTCCTGGGGGAAGGTTACTGCAAAATCCCTATTCCCTCCCCACCCCACTAACGTGCTTTCCAGCTCCATTCTCTTGTGCAGGGCAACAAAAGAAGACCCAGCCGATCTGCTGGGACTTGGGAGGCAGAGAATAGATGGGGCGGGGCCAATCAGAGGTGGTATTTACCGGTTCTCTGAACTACTCAAATTTTCCACTGCCTGTTCTCCAGAACTGGTCAGAACCTTCTGAATGCAACCTCTGGAGTTGGCCCAGATGCTTACCCTAGATGTAGAAAAAATAACAACAACTCACCCAAGTCATTGTCTGGATCTGTGGGTGATTCCAGAGGCCCTGAAACAAGATTGGTTGCAACAATGCAGCAGTGACAGCAATGCACATTTGACTAACATGTTAGCATAGTCAGATGTGCTGATCAAATCTTATTCCCATTTCATTTTATTGCCCTTTCACTCTACTTTTTTATTCTGAAATACAGCTAGAATATTCATGCTTTTTGTATTGCAAGTGACTCCTGGTCTGACTGAGAAAAATAGAATAAATAAAGACAGCAAGAAAGGAATGAATGAAAAGAAAAAAGGTGTGGAGTAAGAGAGGAATTGATATCTTCTCCAAACTACGTATGCCAAGACCCTTTGGAAGAAGCTATGATATATGTGATGTAAAGATTTGTATTGCAATTATGCTTTGGCTGCTGCTGCTGGAGCATGTTTGCAGAAGCTCCTCTTAGTTTTAATTTATTTTATCAACTTTTAGTACTCCCATTTTTAGTACTCTTCTTTTTTATTTAAATAATATTTTTTGGAAAAGATAACAGTGTAGACCACGCACAGAGAGAAAAGTTTTTGTTATTAGTCAATAAGGCACAGGAAAAAGGAAGAAGCACTATGGTACCAGCCCGGGATTTCTCCCATCATTGAAGACTGCAAAACAAACAAGAATTGAGGAGCACTTTGCTGGCAAGAGATCTGTAAGTAAAACTAGGGGTGGGATTAAAAATTTTAACAACTGGTTCTGTGGCTTCTGTGATGGGTGTGGCTTCATCATGTGACTGGGTGGGTGTGGCCAACTCAACTTCACTCACATTGAGCGGTGCTTCTCCTCGCCTGGCTTTCATGACAGTGGGAATGCTGTAATGGTCATAAGTGTGAAAAACGGTCATGTCACTTTTTTCAGTGCCATTGTAACTTTGAATGGTCACTAAATGAACTCTTGTAAGTCAAGGATTACCTGTACAAAAATACAAAAAGCTTCTTTGCTTGCAAAAAGCTGCTCTAAATACCAATCATTAGATTAAAAATACCTGCAAGCCAGAGTTACAAATCAGGCAGGGTGCCAGAGCACCTTGAGAAATTAAAATAGTTAAAGTGCAATGATAACTATCAGCAGCCAACTCTTACCCATAAAGCAAAACCCTTTAGCAGAGAGGTCATTTAAGCACTCCAGAAAGAGCACACCCAAGAGAAGCAATCCTTAGATCCATTTGTACCACTTAAAGATACCAACTGATCTCACTCACCTCACAAGATATCCTAAGGAAATCATTCATATTTAAGGAAAGGTCACATGCCCCCCAGAAAGGCAGTAAAAAAAATCAGTGCCAAGCTTGCATCCTGCCTCTTGGAAGTACACCCCAAAAGGACAGTGCCAGATACCACTAAAGCAGTGAAGGAAGACCCCTTCCCCAGACAGAAAAAGAAACCATGAGGCAGGAAAAAATGCAAACACAATACAAATAATTAAGTAGCTGTTGCTTGTTAAACCAATTACCAGAACAAATAGACCCAGAAACTAGCCAGATTTCTCAACCCAGTTTCTTTTCAAGAACAGAGACTAACCTTTTTCCTTCCAAACAAAGCTGAATAGGAAAAATTATCCCATCAATAAACACAGGATTAAACATCACCAAGCACAGAATTAAACTTCACCAAAAACCAGTTTTAGACCAAAACTTAGAAAGGGTATGTAAACTCACATTTGAATGTCAATCTTTCTAGTTAGCTAAGAAGCCTTACTGAATGTCACTCATCTTGGTTCCTTGTCATTAAAAAACCTTATTTCCGCAATCATTTCTTCAAAGTGCTGATCATTGCATGCTGGCTGGAAGTATTTCCAGGGGAGTATTTCCTCCCAACAGCAGTGTAAAAAGCTTAAAACAACCCTTCCCCTTTAAGAAAGTACCAGGAAAGAAAAAAAAATCTTCTCCAGAGATAGTAAGTCTAGGCATACTGCCAAGAATGTAATAAGGATGGAAAAAAACAAAAGGAGATTTCTTCTAACAACCAGTTCTCAGAACTGCTTAGAAAGTTAACAAGGGGTTCTATAGAACTGGTCAGAACTAGTAAAATCCCATCCTGAGTAAAATTACACCCCCCCCTTCATTTCCAACAACCTTGAGAGGTTAGAACAGGACCTGCAAGGAGATCTGACAAAACAGCAGATACTGGACTTTTCCGATCAGGGAGGGGGGGGGCAAAATGACAGCCAGATGTTTTCACAAACAATTAGTCCAGCTACAGTCGATATGGAGACTGAGATAAAGACTAAAAGGTTTAGCAACAAACTAATTCAGGGTGTGGAGAGCTTACCATGGGAGAATATAACAAAGTTTATGGCAAAGCAATGGCTTCTCACAGCATAAACAGTTGTCTCAATATTTGAACAACTAACAACCATCCAACACAATGTAGAGACACTGAGAAAAGATATAGCTGTCTTTCTGCAAGCACAACATCGGGCTACAGGCACCCCCACCAAAGTCCTTACAGCAGACTTGAGTAAATCCCATACTCAGGATAAGGAAGAAGAAAAAGAGCAAAGACCCAGGGAAACAAAGAACCTGCTAAAAAGTGGCAGCCCACTCAGGAAAGCCCTTCTCCAGACAAGGCAACAAGAGGAGGTATTAATAGAGAAGCTTCATTACCTGGAGCAGGCTGCTGAAAAGAATGAATCAGCTTAACTACAATTTGTGAATAATAATTTTAAAAAATGAAAAAGAGAGCAAAGCTTTTAATCATTAAGCTACACCGTACAGTGCAGTTACAAGAGGATAAAGTGGATTAAGAAATGAATTATGAAATCTGAAGAGAAAAACATGAGATCATCCTCCAGCTAAGCCTGATTGAAATAAGAAATTTAGTAGCAATTTCAGCCAAAAATTCCACTCATAGGGAAAAGTTTTCATCTTTAACAGTTTGATCAACTTCAGTTCAGATCTCTAACTATATGAATTTTAGGAAACAGAGCAGATAGTACAAGAGAATATAGAGTAGCTGCCTCTATTTTCAACTCACATCTCTAAACAAAACTATGGATTTACACTGAGGCCAAACCCATAATTCTTCAGAATGAAGGATTCAGTTATTTGAATCACTTTTCAAAAAAATGTGTGTGTGTATGTGTGTGCATCTTCGAAGCAGTCTTGATTCCCGGTGATTGCCTAGATTCGTGCCTGAAGTTTTCTTGGCAAGGTTTTTCAGAAATAGTTTGCCATTGTCTTCTTCTTGGGGCTGTGAGAAAGATCGCCCAGCTAGATTTGTACCTACAAACAGGACTAAAATTCCTAGTCTCTGGATTTTTAGCTTGATGCCTTAGCCTTGATGCCTTGATGGCTATAGATATCAAAGTATCTATATTATATCAAAGAGTAACCTCTTTGATATTATGAATGAAATTAGGTCAGAATTTCCATTGATTTGTAATTTCCAAAATTACAAATCAATTTAGGTATTAGTACAAAACCAATTAAAATGTACCTGCTGTTGTTTGAGCAACAACTCCCAGCAAAAGCCACTCTAAATAGAAAGAAAAATGTTATTTATATACATGAACATAAAATAATTGTTACAAAAAAGCCATAGTTTCTTTCCCTTACTTTTTGGGTTATGGAACTGTTTTCAGGCTGCTAAAGAAGTATTATCTTAGCCATTGTAATCCCATTATTGGTTTTCATTTTGTATAGTTTAACTTTCATGGTAAACAGTAGCATTTGGATCCGGGAGCTGCAAGGAACAACATCTATTCCAAGATACTTAGAAAATATAGTTAAAGCAAGATATCACATAGATGACACAATTGGTTCTTATAATTTATTTTTTCTTTACATTAAAATATCTGTGAGCAGGAGAATGAATTTTCTCATTTTATGAGGGGAAAAGCATAGTGGGAAGATGTATTAGTTCTCTCTATCTTTGCTACTTGCAAAAGAAGGGAAGTGGTCAAGGATCATGACTGCAATATATAATGATGGCAAAAGACATAATTTTCCTTGTTAGTAAATGTTTGATGGCCATATTCTTATGAGAGTAAATTTCTCTAATCAAAATTAGCATTACTGTAAAATATCACAGCTAACTCTCTTCTCCTTATCTTACTAATAGTTTCCAAACATAAAAAGTCCCCATATCTATCTTGAATTCTGAAGAAAAAGAAAATTTTGAATTACGCAACAATTCTGTGTTAGATGATTCAGCCCATAATATTCTAGTAGCTAAATTAATACTGAATAGAAGCAGAGATGGGGACAATTTGAAATTTTCATATTTGGCAGATAGGCTTGTAGCTTTTGGGGTGCCATAATTTCTTTGGACTTACTGCCAGTGTGTTTTTTTCCAAGCTCAAATGCCATCATCTACACTTTTAAAAATAAACATTTATTAAAAACACCAAAAAACTCTCAGCTCCAAAAAAAACAAAAACAAAAAATGGATTCAGCAAAGATATCCTGGAAACTATTATTCCTCAGAAAAGACATTTTGTTGGGCATGCAAAGGCACTACTCACCCTGTATAGGGTGAAATTATAAAGTAGAATTATGTTCAAGAATTCAGGAATTGGCAAACAAAAACCACAGCTATATATTGTTTTATATTAGTTTAATCATCCTGTGTCTTTGAATGAATAATTGGAGTTGCTACTGAGTCATAAATCGAAGCATTTTCTGTTTGAAATATTCCAGCCATCCCGTAGAATAGGTCCCAATAATTTCTTAGAAAAAAATTCTTAAAATAATTATATTGAAAGCTCAAAAACAGTTAATTTAAAGTAGGTCTATGAATTTAATCAATTTCTGAGATCACGCAGTATAAGTGAAGCAATAGAGGCAACACAAGGAGGATTTACACATTATATTAAACCATGGTTTATTTACCATGATTTCTTGAATAACCTACCATTGGGATAACAAGCTTGTTAATGCATTAAGCATTAACAATACATTTTTAAACCACATCATGGCTCACACAAAGTACTGAGCCAAATCAAACAAGGCACATTATGAAAAACTTAACTTGTGAATTCAACCACATTTAAAGACACACATTCACAGCCATGCAGGACCCCAACTTAGTGCCCACTATATTCCTTTTTCCTACAGAATCCTCTGGGAGAAGTTAATGTATATCACTTGTAAGATGCAAATAACACATAGAGCTTTTTTCTTGAAATCTGAATAACTGCTGACTGTTTCATTTCAGTATGTAACAAAATAAATGATAATTGATAATTCATTTTCACAATATACTGAGGTGTAGGGTAGCTTCTCTGGTTTGGTAAGAACACACACTATATAAACTCACAAGTTTATCTAAGGAAGCTCTTGCAGGTAAGTCTCAGGCTGTGTAAACATCTTGCCTCCTTCACATTTTGTGCAGGGAAGGGGAGAGATGGTATCATAATCCACATGGATTTTCCAATCTTTCAATCCATCATTTTTCCTACCATAGAAACTACACTAAAGAGAAAAGGAAAGACTCCATAATCTGTAGTTAAGTCATTCTACAAATCCTGCCTCTGGAAGTAATCCATTTTTTTAAAAAATATACCACTGGCTAACACAAATTTAAGGTGGAACAGAAGAAGTGTTGTACTTTGCCAGTGTTACATTACTCACCAGATGGCAGGACAACCGTAGCTAGAAGGCACAGCAACATCTGAGTTCCACAGGCCACCATCCCTGCAAAGTGAGAAAGAATAAAAATAAATGGAAGTTCCTGACCTACATCTTACAGATCCTTCCCTTTCACTCACTGATGTACAACGGCAATTAAAGGTTCCTTAATCTCCTTTCTAAGCTGTTCAACTGCTCTATCTGAAAACCAAATACTTTGAGTTGAAAATAACATTACATTACTTTCCATCCTTCTCTCCTATCCATTCATTTATTTTCTGATTTTTGTTAAATTAATTGCATTTGCAATTTCCTACGAAAATCACCCTCTGTTTTTGGGATACAACCCTCTCCACTCACTGCTGTCCATGAACTCTGCTTCTTTTCACTGCAGATGTGCTTCTTTCCCCTTCAACTAATCCCCTATTTTGGCCAGAGTTCCTAACCACTCCCAAATGTTCTTATTTGGTTTGTCTTCAAAATTTAATTAAGAAAAGTTAGAAAGCTTCAATATCATCATCTCAATGGAATGAGGAGAAAAGTGTGGGGGGAGGAATCTTTCATGATCTCATTCCAGAGTTTATTGTAACTGCAAAGACTTCAGCTCCTCCTATTCCCACTGGATGAAAAATGGATAGGAATGGAGTCCCACTGTCTCTCTGATATGCATGTCCTGGTTCACCCTGCTCTTGGAACAGTGAATAAGCATTTGTTTTTCCAGGAAAATTATCTCCTATACAACATAACCCTTTCCTGAAAAAACAGAAATAAACCATAACTGGTCTTAAGACAGGAAAGGTAGCCAAGCCCAGGCAGTGGAACATTCAGACAAATATAATGTTAACAATTTCAATCATAATTAATTTCACAGAGACCACTACGGGAATTTCCATCTTAGGCACCAAAATGTTTTGGGATCAGAGAATTATGCTTTGGATCACATTATTTGCTGGGGTTTTTTGGGGGGTGGGGAGGTTAAGAAAAAGTATAGAATGGAATGGAATGGAATAGAGCTGAAAGGGACCTTGGAGGTCTTCTAGTCCAGCCCTCTGCTCAAGCAGGAGAAGCTATATCATTACAGGTATGTGATTGCAATGGTAGGATTCAAATAATTTAGTAACCAGTTCTCTACCCTAATGACTGGCTAGGTAGGCGTGGCTGAGTGGTCATATGACTGGGTGAGCGTGGCCCACTCAGGGGCACCTCACATTGTCCAGCCTCTCCTCGACTTATGACCATAGTTGAGCCCAAAATTTATGTTGCTGTGAGTAATCTATTAAGTGAATTTTGCCCCATTTCTCAACTTTTCTTGCCAAATTTGTTAAGTGAATCACTGCAGTTTAAGTTAATAATACAGCTGTTAAGTGAATCTGGCCTTCTTATTGACTTTGATTGTCAGAAAGTTGCAAAAGAGGAACACATGACTCTGGGAGACTACAACAGTCATAAATGTGAGACAATTGTCAACCATCTAAATTTTGATCACGTGACTGTGGGGATGCTGCAATGGTTACAAGTGTGAAAATGGTCATAAGTCACTTTTTTCAGTGCCATTGTAACTTTGAATCGTCACTAAATGAACTGTTGTAAATCAAAGACTACCTGTACAAAATTACAAAAAGCTTCTTTGCTTTCAAAAAGCTGCCCTAAATACCAATCATTAGATTAGAAATGGGGGAATACACACTGAAGATCAATGACAGTCACAGCCATCATGGAAATCTAAACCATTCTGTCCTTCCTTTTCATCAGCAATACCTGCAACCTACAAATCAGGCAGGGTACCAGAGCACCTTGAGGAATTAAAATAGTTAAAATGCAGTAGCTGTCAGCAGCCAACTCTTGCTCATAAAGTGAAACCCTTTAGCAGAGAGGTCATTTAAGCTCTCCAGAAAGTGGATGGGCATACTTGGGCTACATAATGCCGAGCTAAAGAAACAAATTAATGAAGTATTTAGGGGACCCAGGTTCTGCACTCACAAAGTTGTCGGGATCACAATAAAATTAGTACATGCCACAGATATCTAAATAAACTTCCTGGCCTGGTGCCATGCTACTAAGCCTTATTATCATGAGAGAAAACTAAAACAAATTGGATGGAGGATCCACACCCCAACCTCCTATTTTAAAAAAATCTTACTATCAGTGAGCAACCAAGAAAGTCCAGCTGCCTCTTGAAAAAAGCACCTTTGGGGCAACCATGACCTGGATGATTGAAGAATCCCAAGACACAAGAGACTCCTGTGCTCAGTGAATTGACAAAGGAGCCTTTCCCACCCAGGATAAGCAAACCTTAGATCCATTTGCACCACTTAAAGATAACAGCTGATATCACTCACCTCACAAGATAAGATCACATGCCCCCAGAAAGGCAGTAAAAAAAAACCAAAGAGAGTGCCAAGCTTGCATCCTGCTTCTCAGTCATTACTTAATTTGATCAAGCAATCAGTTGCGGTCCAAAAAGATTACCTCATTGCTGAGGTAATTTTTTTGTAACAAACGAACAAACAAGCCATAGACTAGCCAGATTGCTCCATTTAGAGAAGATTATGGATCCAGGGAAGAAAGAGGGGCGTGATCGCCCCCTCCCACCTGTAATTGGGGATAGGAGTGGCTGGGAGGGGATTCAGCCATGTTGGAAGTACACCCAAAAGGACAGTACCTGGATCCACTAAAGCAGTGTAAAAAGCTTAAAACAACCCTTCCCCTTTAAGAATGTCAAGCCCAAAATAAAAGTACCAGCAAAGGAAAAAACTCCAGAGAAGCCTCTCAGACTATAGAAAGTCTGGGCATATTGCCAAGAACCATTTAGGGCTGTTACAATGTACCAAGGTTTAACCCCAGAGGCAGTTTCTGAAAACACTTAAGCAGGTCAATAAAGATAAGCAGGATTAGGCTAGAAACAACATGCACAGGCACACCAGAATGCCTCCTTCCTGACAGGATTAACTCCGTAAGGTGGGAAAAACAAAAGGCTTGAAAAGGGAGGACTATATCCATTGGAAAGTTGCAGGTAATAAGGCCTAGGTGGAGGCTTGTGGGTCTTGATGAAACAAACTTTCAAATTAACATAATTGCAAAATGTGCTAGAGATATTTATAATATTCTGACTTGTGCAATATGTTTCTGCAGAGTCTGTACTTGTATGGATATATTTAGAGCAGGAAAGTCGGAAATGAGGAACTTCTCTTCTGCTGGTCGTTGCTTTGCCCTCAGTGGCTCTCCTCTCTGCCCCATGGATAGTTTACCTCCCTGCTCCAGAGCTGGGCCCCACTCACTCACCGACTTCCCTTGTACTTTGTTGGTTTGTTTTGCCTCTCTGTTCACCTCACTTCAATGGGCCTCCAGGCTCTTGGGTAGGCCTCTCGGGTGCAGCTGAGCTTCTCTCTGCATGCCAAGTTTGCTGTGGGTTGTTTTCCTCCTATTTCTCCAATCTTTCCTTTCTCCATTTTTTTCTTTCTCTATGATTTACTCTATCTTTCCTCTCCACTTCTCCTCCTATCATTTATTTAAACTATAATAGCAACTTTTCTCTTCTTCTAACTCCCTGCGATGTAACTATGCTGGTTGCTTTCCTCTGCACTCTTTCTAGAGTCTCAACATCTTTTTATAGTGTGGTGACCAAAACTGGATGCAGGTGTGGTCTTACTAAGGCTTTAGTTTATAGAGTGGTATTAGCACCTTGCTTGATCTTGATTGTATCCCTCTGTTAATGCAACTTAGGATTGCATTGGTTTTTGGGCTGCCTCTGCACACTGCTGGCTCATATTTAGCTGGTTGTCCACTAAGACTCCAAGATCCCTCTCACAGTCACTGCTATTAAGCCTGGTTTCACTCAGTCTCTTATTTAAGTATTAAATGCATGAAAGAATAAATAACTTTTTTGTATATATCTTTTTTTAGGTAATTAGGGCAAAGAAGTGGTGTCAAGTTGGCCACACCCACCCAGTCACATGACCACCTAGCCATGCCCACCTGATCACATGCCCACCCAACATGCCATGCCCACCCAGCCACACCCACCCAGCCAGTCATTAGGGCAGAGAGCCCTTGCTAAAAAATTTGAAGTGCGCTCCTTGGTGAAGGTATTTCAATGTAAGAACTGCCTGGCTCCTCATTGGAAGGGTCCATTCCAGATCATCTTGACCACCAATGCTGCTGTGAAGTGTCAACATCTGGCCTCTTGGGTGCACACTTCACACTGTAAGAAGGTATCAGCCTTAGACAAGGAAGCCCCTCAGCTCAGGTCACCTGGCTGCAACAAGGCAAAGACTGAAGCTTTGCCCAACAGGGAAGCAAGTGCTAGCAACTTCTACCCCCGCTCTCCATACAACCTTCACCTAAAACCATGCCTACATCGAGTAACCTTACCTTTGCCTACCATCAACGAATAGCAAAAGAACAGTTTCATGGAAGCCCAGCAATGATTGCAGGAAACAGCCTGCATCAGGAAAGGACTCGTGCCTTTGGTCTGAATCATCACTGTCCTGCCCCACACCTACAGCCTCCAAGCCCTATTTGATTCCTTTTATGGTAGTTGTTCCTCATACTGCCACTTCTGTACTTACTGAATCTCTTGTTCTTCTTCTTCCTCTACATTGACTAGAACCCCTTCAATAAAATTGGTGCTAACACACACACCCTTTTTCAGGACACTAATGAAGAGATCTACCTGAACAGTCAGACAGCAAGCCAATGCATGCCACCATGAAAAGGCTGCAGACCTTTCAGCCTGCCTAATGCAATCCCTCCACAGATATTTTGCTGAAATGCTCCTAATCAAAGTAACTGTCTGCCTTCATCTTAAATGAAGAATGTTTATACACAAATTTTGACTTTAGTTATATACATATAATGTTTTGGACACTTTGGTTTGTGTTGATCTCATGATCAGAAAGGGAGGATTGAAAGGGGAGGAATATATCCATTGGAAAGTTGCAGGTAATAAGGCCGAGGTGGAGTCTTGTGGGCCTTGATGAACCAATGTTTTAAACTAACATAATTGCAAAATTTGCTAGAGATATCTATAATATGCTGACTTGTGTGATATGCTTCTGCAGAGTATGTACTTAAATGGATATATTTAGAGCAGGAAAAGTCGTGTCGCTGGGAAATGAGGAAATGAAAGTAACAAGTGTCTGAGAGCTTCAAATGTACACAGGTGTTTATAGAAGGTGACGGTCAGTAAGAAAGAACAGGGAAGTGAAACTGTGGAATGTATGTCAGTAAAAAAGAAAGTATAAAAAATGCAGCTTGAGACAATAATGGTGTCCTCTGCCTAATAGCAATCCTTGAAGGAACTGCTATATGTCTGGACCTCATTGCAATGGCTTGTTAATGTAAGTGCATTATTGCTATTATATCTCTTATTTATTTATTTAGTTCCAAATTATTAGAAACAATTATCTTATTTT